AGACAAAACTTCCACCAATGTTGAAAATAATTGAATGTAAAATAAAAAATGGTAAAAGCATGAAACCAATAGGTGTCCATGAGGTCCATTCCCAATTTGATTCATCCTTTAATTAATCAAATCATAGTTAAGTAATACTTTTACAAGTAATACTTGTGAAAAGTTAGATTCATCTTATAATTAATTGCATTTAGTAAGTAATAATTATAAGAAGAGTTAGATCCATCTTTTTAAGTAGCTGTATCATAGTAAGTAATACTTGTGAAATGTTAAATTATGCTAAGTTTAAAGTTTAATTAAAGCTTATAAATTATCTTAGCTAATTGTTTTTCATTTCATTTCCTTTTTTTTTCTTTTCGTAACAAATTTGGTTGATCAATTATTAATTTAAATCTTTCAATTTCTCGCTTTTTTCTATCTTTTTTGTTAATTATTAGATAGATAATAATTATCAGAGGGTTAATAAAATAAAAATATTAAATTTATTTTCACTTTACTGGAATAATATATTTCTTAGGCTTAATTTGGTCCTTCACAAACATTAAGGCTTATTTATAAAAATCATAAACATCTGAACTTATCAATGCTACTGATAATTTAACACGCAAATACTTTAATAAGTAATCATAATGATAATAGCAATAATAAATAATAATAGCAATATTGATAATCAGCAGTAGTATTAGTAATGATGACAATGATAAAGTTATCATATTGTAATTGTTCAATAAGTAATGATCAAAATTTTCAATGATTTTTGATATGAAATCAATATATCGTATCGTCTAGCTCACTAATATCAGAGTAATTAAATTAATTTTTCATAAAACCATTTAAAAAATTTCCAATCCAAAAATATAAACGAGAAAAAAAAAAGTACGCAAAATTAGGAAAAGAAAGTACTATTATGTGGTAGTAATGATAACAATGATAAAATTATCATATTATAATTATCCATTGATTAAATTGTAAATCGATCAAATTTATTCAACGATTATCAATGCAAAATCAATATGATCTTTGATTTATCGTATCGTTTAGTTTGTTAATGTTAGAGTAATTAAATTAATTTTTCATTCAATCATTAATCAAAAAATATTAAAAAGTAAGTAAAATTAGAAAAAGTACCATATATCGTTCACCAATTAATGGTAATCGATTAATTCGTATTGAATGCCAATATTGAAATTCGTATTTATTACTAGCAATTAGCACTTGGCTCCATGCATAAATCATACTACAGCCAACAATAATGTAGCAAAGGCCAAGCTCAATTGTCGGTAGTGCCGGATATTGAAATAGAATTCGTCGTTTTGTCATCACTTTTGATTGGTTATCAGTGATAGTCATTGATAATATGAATGAGGTAATATATTCAATATCTTATTCTATAAATTTGAATTTATCATAATATTTTTATTTTAATTATATTTTAATTAACAAATTACACACATTCGATAGTTTAGATTTAAAAAAAAAATATATCATTTATTTAATTGATTTTATTTTTTTATAAAAAAAAAAATTAATCTAAGTGTTATGTTTAATAAAAAAAAAAAAAAGTCTTGTTCTGTTTTAGGTTGATAAGAATAAATTTAATCATTAATTTTAAATTTAACAAAAAAAATTAACTCATTTTATATTTAATTTTTTTTGAAATAAAACTCCTACCTTTTTTTTGCTTAAAAAAAGCTAGCATTATTCATTAATAATTATTTAAAAAAAAATCAAGTATTTAATTTAACTTTTTTTTTTCTTAACTAAAAAGAATTTTTAATTCGTATTACTAAAATTATTATATGAAAAAAAAAAAAAAAAATCAATTGATTAAAAGATAAATTATTGATTGGAAAGTAAAAAAACGAAGGAAAAAAAAGATTTTTTTCCTGCTGATTTAAATAATATCAAAATGACAATAAAAGATTCGAAGAGACATCGGACGACAGTCGCAGTATCATTGTGTCACCAGAATGAACATTTTAAAATTAGGACATTATTTCCTATTTGATTGTATCATTTGTATGCATCAGGAAATTTCCCAAGGATTTTTATGAAATTACAATTCGATTCATACATTCGACCTATTCTCTCTCTCTTTATCTTTTTCTCTCCCTCTCTCTCTCTCTCTCTCTCTCTTTCTTTTTGTCATAGCACATTTTACAAATACATTTAAAGGATTTATTTTATTCAACTTTTTCAATGTCTCTTAAAATTAGCCACACAATTTCAATGATTATAATCAAATAATTATGCATCAATTAACAGATTTAATCACTTATCAATGAAATTTCAAGGACATATTTTACAATAAGGCCAATTGAGAAATTGTATAAAAGTTAAAAAAAAAGAATTTAAATTCAATAATTAATATATAAAATAATATATGCTATAAAAGCAAATTTAGAATTTCTTTCTTACTGCCCTGTTTCCTTGTGAAACAAAATAGCTTCCTTTCTTGATGGTTCAGATCGTTGACTTCTCTGTCCTCGATACTGGTAGAATCTCGAATTTGTACTGGTTCCGTTCTATGTACGTGTACTGTGGCAGTCTTCGTGAAATACTTTATTATTCAAACCTCAAAGTTGGGTAATTAAACCTTAGATTAACAATAAATATTATACAACATTACAATAATGAATTGATACATAGCACACAAATGTAACTCAGTTATAAAACATTTAAAGATATAAGCAAGCTAGACACCTCGCAACCGAGTCATACCAAACAAGGAACTATAATGAATGGCTTTGTAAAGAAGAAAATTGGGAGGGACTTATGGGTGTTAAGGTTACAAAGTGGATTAAAATCATTTAAAACAATAGCCTTTGTTTATTAGGTTATAGCTTCGCCATTGTGGCTTGCATAAAAAATATGAAATTTCTTCCAATTAGTAATTATAAATTTCGTAAATTTAAAGTGTTTTTCTTAATCCAAATTTTTACAATTTTTTTTTTCTTGATTTTAATTTGAATAAATATTTATAGTTAATTTAGTTCTTAAATTATAGCAAATAAATGCTGCAACAAATATTAGTATAATAATTTCATTGCCATATTTATATATTATGTAATTAAGAAATAGTTGTATCTTAATTAATTAATCTTTATTAATTATATTATTATTAAATTATGTATAATATAAACTTACTAACAATTTTCTTTTTTCTCCATTTTTGTTTTTTTTTTTTTAGATGAAAGAGTAAAATGAAACATTTTGAAGTGATATTCCGTCACAACATTATTATCAAGTCCTTATCTTGTTAAGTTATCAGTGAAAATATCAGAGTAAACCAGGTGATGATAATAAACTGGTTTAAAAAAAGATATTGATGAAATGGTGAATTTAGATTGAAATTATATTTCTAGATTAAATTATTAAATAGAAATGATATTGCTAGATTAAATTAAATTACAATCATTAATTTTAAATGATAAATGAGCTAAAAGTGATATATTAAATTAATTAATAATGTTAGCTTATAGTATAATAATGATTCTGTATTAAAGTAATTAATCAATAAAATGAAGAAAATTAAGTAATTGGTTTAATTAAAGTAAAAAGAACTTAATGAATGAAACTTTTTATTACTAACCTACAACAATAAGTTAATTTGCAATGAGTAATTAGTGATTTTCTTATGTATATTTATCATTTCTAACTTATTACACTGCATAAAAATATAAATTTATTTTATTAAATTAAAATAATTTATAAACATTGTTAAATTAATTAATTAAATAATAATTTTTATAAAAATCCAGTAACAGATTTAGTGTTAACGTTAATGAACTTTTTTTTTTCAATTTTCCTTTGAAGTTCAATTTCATTTTTTTTTTTTGATCTTTGATTTCATTCAAAATTTTTTATCACATTTTCACTAAGTTCATCAATTAATAATACCCTTTAAATTTACACTTCTAATCATTTTGTTGAAACAGTTGAAAATTGATAGTTTTAATTATTAATGAGCTTAATTAATTTTAAATTTAATCTTTTTTCAATTTTTCTTTGAAGTATAAACTAGTTTAGATAATTCTTAAAATTTGAAATTGTTTAAGTGTTTCATTTACAAATGTGCCCTGTACAAATGATGCATTTGTATAACCTTAGGCAATTCAGTATTTTTAATTTAAATATTAGCCCACTTTCTCACATACAAATGATTATACTTATATGCAAAATAGAAAAAAGAAACTAATTAAAAAAACAAAAGAAGTACTAAATTACAAAATTATTAATTTTTATTAATAATTTCTATCACTGAAATAATCTGTTTAGATTGATAAGCAATGTTTACAAAATTTTCATTTTAAAGTATATAAAATAATATTAATGGTATAATTTTGCTAAAGTTAAAAAATCCAAGGAAATTAAGCAAATTTTAGTTATTGCATTTCTAATTTTTGTATGTAATTAAAAACTTCAAATTTGTTATTCTCTTAAAACAATGAAAATAATTTTTGATTTAAAATATGGTACAGCTCAAATTTTATGTGTAAAAGAAAAGCATTAAAATTTCATTTAAAGTTGTACACAATGAAAATGTTGGAATTACAATAACAACAGACAATACTATAAAATGTTTTTTTTTTTTTTTTTGTTAATTAGATTAACCTTTAACCTTCGGCAAAATTACAGTTTACTTTTATATATAAACATTAAATACTTATATGTATATACTTTTTCATCCATTAGAAATTATGTTGCTAATATATTAATTAATTAATAGCAAGAATAAAAAATTAAAAAAAAATTTTTTTTTAATGTTTTTTTTTTTTTTTTTTTTTTTTTATTAAACAAAGACTAACCTTTAACCTTCAACTTTTGTTGAACTTTCAATTTTTTTTTGCATATGCATTTGTAATTTCCTTGTTATTAACAATTTTTTGTTATTTTATTAGGAAAAAAAAAACGATTCTATAAAATATTTTTTCTTTGTTATATATATATTATCTATTGTGTCGAACTTTAAATTTTGAAAAATTTTAATTTAAATTTAGGTAGTGAAAAACGATCGATAAAAGGAAATTGTGGTACAAATTATTATAGTTGTGATTCTGGTGAATGTATTCCACGTGAAAAAGCGTGTAATCGACATTATGACTGTTCTGATGGTAGTGATGAAATGAAATGTGGTTTGTTTTTAATTTTGTTTTTTATTTTTTTAAATTTTAATAATAAATTTAAAGTAATACTTAGAAAAAAAAGTAATATCAAAAGAAGTAAAAGGAACAAAAAAAGGAAATAAAATACAATACTATATAGTAACTATTGTATAAATTTGTAAACCAATTACTATAAATAAATATTGTTTAGAGTATATTACTTAGAAAAATTAATATAATATTTAAAAAAAAAAAATTTATTGTCAAAAAAAAAAAGAAATTAGAATAGTAATAAAATCATTTTTTTTTTAATTTTAATTGAAAAAAAAAAAGAGATTCATTTATATATTAGCAGTATTGTTTGTGTTAAATATTTATATTAACTTTAGATTTTTTATATTTTTATCATTGTATATTTTTTCAATAATTTCATTTTCTTTTTAATTTCAATTTTTTTTTTGCAATAATTATTTGCAACATTTTTAAAAAATTTATACACCTAAAAATTTTTTATTGTTTAATTAGAAATTTTCGTACATATTTTTTTTTTTTTTTGCTTTTTCTCTAAAAAAAAAAAAAATTTTTGGAAAAAAAATTTTTTAAAATGATAATTTTTCAATAGATAAAAAAAAAATACATTCCTCAATGAACTAATGAAACAAACTTATGTTTGAATTTGAAAGTAATAATTAGAATTTAGAAATGGTAAGATTTTCAAAAATAAATTATTTGTGATAATTATTAAAATTCATTTAGAATATTTCATTGCTGCTCAACAAGCTCATTTCGCATCGACAGGTGCTACTAATGCTAAAATTAATAATAAATTTGAAAAAGTTACAAGAAATCAGGTACTTTTTTAATTGCTTTAGTATTGTATTTCGGATTTACTTTACTATTCTTAAATAATTTATTAAAATTATTTTAAAATTACAGAATAGAAATAAATTTTTGAAAGTGCATAGATTTATAAATTTCAGATCGTTGCATAAAAATGTAGTTATTGATTATTTTCTCAATAATATTACTTATCTTTTTTTGTATATTATATTTCAAGTAATTTATCTAGAAATTTTAAAAGAAAAAATTTTTTTTTTATAAAAAATATTAAAGCTATTATTATAGGTGTGAAATTAACTGTATTAATAAAATATATGTTAAGCAAGAAAAAGATGCTACTTGAGCTATTCAGGATGATAACTTGTACAATTGATAATTTCATATAAACGAATATTTCTTTATCAACTGATAATTGTGGAAATCAAAATATTTATGAATCAGAAATTAATCATAATAGATAGAAATTTCAGAATAAGCATGGAAGTGATAATCGATATTTTTCTTCTGATTATCATAAAACAGGACAATATAATGGTCATACTGCTAATAATAAGATCAGGCATAATCATGATAAAGCTATCAGAGGTCATAATGGTGATAAAAAGATTGGAAATGATAAGCGAAACAGTTACAGTTACATGACCAATGCAATTAATGATAATGACCGAAATGAAAATTATCACAATAGTGATAAGCGTAATGACATTTCGAGTTATGATACGTCTGAAAATCATCAATTTAAAGAGTTAACCGGTCGTATTATCGGAATAGAACACGACAGGACGAATAATTTGCAAGAATTATCATTAGATGACGAAAATGTGCTTAATCATGGATCAAATTATGAATCGGAAAGCTTATCAGCAGCAGCAATAAATGGTGATTCATCATATGACAGCGGTGCTAGCAATTTATTCCGGCATAATGAAGCAAAATATGAAAATTACCATTCCGGAATTACTTATGGTAAAGCAGAAATAAGACATGAAACAAATGAAACATCACATAGCAACCAGAATAGTAATGGAATTGATGAGAAAGATGAAGAAGATACGGATGAATGCTCGGATCAAGAATTCCGGTCAGCATTTTCACTCATTCATTTATTTCACTGATTAGTAATGCTAAAATGAAAAAATGTTTTTTGTGAAAATATTTCGATTAAAATTTTATCTTATCATATCATATCATTATTATAATAGCTTAACTAGAATAGTGGATTAATAATTCATTTCTAAAATCTACAAATTAATAATTCATTTACTTTTATCCCTAAGGAAATGCAACAAATTTTGATAAAAAACTGATAAAATTATATAAATGAATAATTTTATCAGTTTATTAATATGATAAAAGATTAAATATTTCTTTTCAATTACTACGATAGTATTATTTTTAATTTTTATGATAAAAGATGAAATTATTCATTATTCATATGCTATAAATTTGTTTATTTTGCATTGTTATGAAAAGATAAAATTTAAAATAATAATAACATCAAATTTTTTTTTTTTTTTGCAAATATTTCAGTTTACATAATAAAAGATAAAATTACATCTATTTTCCAATATTAGCGCAGTTTGTATTCAAATTCATTTTTTACAGATAAAATTTTGATTAAAAAAACTTTTTTGAATATTTTTCAAAGTATTATTATCCATCATATCATATACGTTTAATATTTGTAGAAAGAGAGAGAGAGAGAGAGAGTGGGTGAGAAAGAAAAAGATAAATAATTATTTATTTGCAATGATGTTTACGCATTTGAATAGCACTAATTTTTTTTCTTTTTCTTTTACAAATATTTTAATTTCCATAATTTAAATTAAATTTTTAAGATGTCCATATTTACGGAGAACATTATGTGTTCATTATATGAAAATATGTGATGGTATTGACGATTGTGGTGATGGTAGTGATGAAATGAATTGTGGTGAGGATGAACTGGTTACATTAGCAAATGATCATAGCGAACCAGTAAGTGAAATAGCTGCCGGATCATGTCAACCGGATCAGTTTCGTTGTGAAAATGGAAAATGCATTGCACAAGTTGATCATTGTAATCATAAATATGATTGCGATGATGGTACAGATGAGATTACCTGTGGTATGTTAATAATTTAATAATTTTATTAACAAATCATTTAGTTTCATTTTTGACCAATGATTTCAAAATTTTGATTAAAAATTTTTTAATTCATAATTAATGGATAACTTAATTTATATCAGTAAATTATTTCAGTTATTGCAAAAAAGAAAAATCATTTTAACTTTGATAATATTCTAAAATGTTGTCGAGTTTACTTGAAAATTATGGCAAATATGATTTTATGAATTTTTCTTTTTTTTCATTTTAAATTAATAATTTCTAGAATATTTTGTACAAGCACTGCAACAAGCAAGAGGTACAACGATGCATCCTGATGAAATAATACCGATTTATGCCACTACAACCGGAAAACAGGAGTACGGTCAGGTGCAGGAGGAGGAACAAGAAAGATTGAGAGAGGAGCAAGAAAGACAGCGGTATGAACAGGAAAGAAGTCATGAAGAGGAAGAACAGCGCCGCCGAGAAGAGGAACGAGAAAGATTGAAGCAGGAGAAAGAACAGCAAGAGATATTGAGGCAGGAGCAAGAAAGAGAACGGCAGGAATATGAGAGAAGACGAGAGGAAGAAGAACAACGAGAACGAGAAAGAGCAGAACATGAAAGGATAAGGCAAGAATATTATGAAAATGAAAGACGAAGACAAGAGATTGAGCAGAGAGAGAAAGGGTATGGGAAGGAGGAGGATGTAGAGAAACACGAAAGATGGGAAAGTACACGAAAAGAGGAACACGAGAGACAACACGAAGAAGAGGAAAGATTAAGGCAAGAGCAAGAAAGACAGGAGCATGAGAGAAGACGAGAGGAGGAACATCATCAACAAGAAGAACGAGAAAGGTTGAGACAGCAGAAAGAACAGGAAGAAGAGCAGCACGAAAGATTACGGCAAGAGCAAGAAAGACAGGAGCATGAGAGGAGACGAGAGGAGGAACGAGAAAGGTTGAGACAGCAGAAAGAACAGGAAGAAGAGCAGCACGAAAGATTACGGCAAGAGCAAGAAAGACAGGAGCATGAGAGGAGACGAGAAGAGGAACGAGAAAGATTGAAACAGGAGAAAGAGCATCAGGAAATATTGAGGCAAGAACAAGAGAGAGAAAGACAGGAGCATGAGAGAAGACGAGAAGAGGAACGAGAAAGAGCGGAACAAGAAAGGATAAGGCAAGAATATTATGAAAGCGAGAGACAAAAGCAAGAAATTGAACAGCAAAGAAAAGGGGAAGAGTATGAAGAGGGACAAGAAGATAGACAGGAACAGGATGAACGGAGTCGACAGGAACAGGAAAGGATTAGACAAGAGTCAGAAATAAGACGACAGGAAAAAGGAGAAAAAATTGAGGAAGATGAGGGACATGAAATTTTTGATAAGAAACAGGAAAGTTATGAAGAGGAGGAACAACATCAAAGACAACCGGAAGAGGAAGAGCAGTTGGAACGGAAACGGAAAGAGGAGGAAGAGAAGGAAGATCGTAGACGTTTGGAAGAGGATCGTAGACGTTTGGAGGAAGATCGTAGACGTTTGGAGGAAGATCATAGACGTTTAGAGGAATTATCAAGAACTGATCAGGAAATGAAACCGGAAAAGGAAAGAGGAAAAGATGAATATGAGAAACATCAATTAACCATAGATGGAGTTCGAATTAAGGAAGATGAGAAACAGCGACGATTAGAGCTCGAACATTACGGTTTGGATAAGGATAATCAGGTAAGTTAACAAATGTTTTAAATTTATTAAATTATCTATTTAAGTAATTTATAGCTCATTGTAAAATTTATGACTTTTCCGGATTTTGTAAATAATCAGAAACGTAATTTTTTCTTCATTCATTCACTCATTCAATTTTCATTAATCATTAATGCTAATTTTAAATTATTTAGTGTTAGCACAATGAAATAATAATCAGCGTTTTATATTTTATTTTTTCTAAACTTTTTTTTTTTCAATATTTTATATTAATAATTTTTGTGAAAATTTTAAAAGATTAATAATTTGCTATTATTAATTTTAATCAACTTGTAATCGAAATTATAATTGATCATTTTCAATCCAATGATCATAGTTTAATTATAAATTACAAATTGATTTTGAGGTGATTTTCAGTTTACCATATTACCTTAGATGAACCATCGGTTAAGTTTGCTTCACACATTGATCAAATTTACCATTGCATAAAAAAATTAGCACAATTAATTTTTCTTCTGATTTTTCATAAATTAGAAATGAATATAAATATTTAAAATGTCAGTAAACTGAAATAAAATTCCTATAATTTATAAACTTGCATATAATTTTTCTAATTTGTAAACTTAAATTAAATACAGTTCCTGTAATTTATGCAATTCTTATAATTTAAAATTCCTATAATCCATGTAATTCCTATAATTTATGCAATTCTTATAATTTAAAATTCCTATAATCCTATAATTTGTGAAATTCTTATAATTTACAAATTACAATAATTTAAAATTCCTATAATTTATGTGATTCTTATAAATTAAAATTCCTAAAACTCATGCAATTCCTATAATTTATTGCAATTACAATAATTTACAATCACTGTAATTTATGTAATTGCTATACTTTATTCAATTCTTACAATTTAAAATTCTTATAATTTATACAATTCCCACAATTATCCATGCAATTCTTACAAATTAAAATTCTTATAATCCATGCAATAATTTATGAAGTTAAATACAATTCCTATAATTTATAATTAGATGTAATTAATTTCAGGTAGAGAAGGATTTTTACACGGAAGCAGACGCACGTGAACGCTATGACGTGGTTGAAGCAGGTACAACGTGTAGCATCGAGCAATATCAGTGTGCTAGCGGTGAATGTATTGAAAAGAGTGCGCAATGTGACGGGAAAACGGATTGCTCCGATGGTTCCGATGAGCGGCTTTGTCATCCGCCAGTACAAAAAGAACCATCTAAATCGATGGTTACTTGTAAGTTACATTTCATCTTCATTCTGCATTTTCCAGTAATTTGCAGCTTTTCATTTTAATTTGAAATCAGCAGTGAAATATGTATTTTGCTTTTTTTTTTCCGGATTTATTTTGTTTTAACTACTTTATTCGACACAATTGTTTCAGCTCTAAACGATAAATAATTCGGTAAAATTGATTTCTTCAAAAAAAAAAAAAACAAAAAAACAAAAAAAACAAAGATATGATCACAGACAATTTCTAAAAGTTTTAGTGCTAATTCGTTGAAATTTCATGATTCAACCGGAATGTACATTATCCGTTTTTTTTTTTTTTTTTTTTTTTTTTAAGTGTGTGTGTGTGTCATTTTAGATTTATCGCTTTATTTCGTTACAGTTTACAGCAATTTATTCTTTTACTATTTCATTCATAAAGTACTTAGATCGAGAAAATTCCGGAAAGCATTAAAGTATATCTATGATTTTTAATTTTAATTCTTTAATCCTAAAAAGTTATTTGAGGTTTTAAAGTACACATTTCTCTCTTTTTTTTAGCTTATTTCTTTTGATTTCTACTTTTTAATATGAATTCCATTTCTTGTAATTATCCAATAAACATTTAGATATGTATTTAAATTTACGAAAAATGAACAGTTTTTAATTATAATTCATGAATTCATTGTTATATGATAAGATGACAATGATTTAGTTAAGTTTAAGAAATAAAAAAAAAAAAAAAAGAAATAACTCTAATTTATATAATTATTACTTCTTCTTTTTCCTTCAACAAATTCATTATCATTAAAATTTAAACGCAGTAGTTTTAAATTCTTTATATAATTTAAACTGACATAAATATATTAAAGTAAGATGTGATAGAAAATAAAAATAAAATGATGAAAATTCATTAAATGAAATAAACTGTTTATTTAATTCATAAAAGAAAACAATAAAATCGTTGATATTATTGAACGTAAATAACTGGAAATGATGCTCTAATAAACTTTTATTTAAACTTAGAATTTTAGAGTTTTATGAAATCGCTTTCTTCTTCTCTTTCTCTCTCCCTCTCTCTCTCTCTTTCTCTCTTTAGCTTTTTGAAAGTGATAAAATTGATAGAGAATGAAATTATTAAAAATGTAAACATATGAAGTTATAACCATTGCTGAACAAAAATATTTCGCATTGCTGGCATTTTTAACAAAAACATTTGAAAGAAAAAAAAAAAAAGGAAAAAGAAGAAAAAGGAGAGAGAGAGAGAGAGAAAAAGAAGGAATTTAAGAAAATTAAAAAAAATCAAAAGTAAGTGAAAGAATTAATTTATAAAAAAAAAAAGAAAGTGAAAAGAAAAGAAAACGGATATGAAATTCAGAAAAGAAACATTGAAGGACGATCGGAAATAAGAAAATTTGTTTGAATGATTTAAACAAAATATTTTTATACCAAAAAAAAAAAAAAAAAAAAGAAATGAAAAATGAAAAAAATTAATTTAAATCAGTTTTTCCTTTTTTCTTTTTTTTTTTTGCTTTCTTTGAAAAGAAAAATTTAGGTAAGAAAAAAAGAAACGAAAAAATACAATTTTCGAATATTAATTATTCGGAAACAATTATACAAATGTAAGGAAAATGAAAAAAAAAAAGAGAAAAAAAAAGGTGAGAAAGATGGAAAAAGTAAAAATTTGAATTTTTTTAAGTTAGCAAAAAAAATGTTAAAGTTTGCATACAAATATATATTTCTCTCACGAATTTGTGACATTTGTTTAAAAATGATTCTTTTCCCTTAAAAAAAAAAAAATCAAAAATGATAATTATTAAATATTATTTATTTCATTAAATTCACGCACGTTTCACGCATTTTTCACGTATGAAATAAAATGTTAAAACATATATTAGTTTAGAAAAGTATTAATAATTAAATAAACGTTTAGACTAAATAGCACAGATAGAATTATATTTCAAAAATTAATTTTCATATAGTAGACAAAAAAAAAAAAAAAGTTAAATAAATTATTTATAAAATTTGAAAAAATTTCATTGCAATTTTTCAATTAATGTTCCCAATTATTAATTAATTTAATTATCAACCTTAAATTAGTCAATGATTAATACTATCATATATATATATATATATTTGTTTAATTCAATTCAATTATAGTAGTTGTAAAATTAAACAATCTAATAACCAATTAAAATTATAATTACAAATTTACAAAAAAAAAAAAGGAAAGAAATTTTAGTTTTACAAGTAAGAAGAAAAAACAAATTTTGATGATAACATAACATAAATTTGATTTAAATAATAATATAATATATAATTATAAAAAATGATCACTTCCATATCCTTAAAAATAAATTCAAATCGTTAGTAAATAAATAATATTTATTTTACTAAAAATCTAATATTTCTTTTCATTTCAATCCGAAAAAAAAAAACGATGTTCAAATAAATTAAATTAACATTTATCTCAAATTTCATTCTTCTCATTTTTCATATTATTTTAAATTCAATAATTTTTGATAGGAAAAAAAAAGAATAAAATTTAAGTATGAGATTGTTCACTATTTCAAAATGTTTATTTATTAATTTATTTTTTGAAATGAAATTTTAAACTTATCACAATCATAACACATATATTATAAGTTGAAATTAATTATCTAAAATAATTTTAAATCATAAATTTTAATAAATCCATTGTTCTCAAATGATAAAAAAAAAAAATTCAAAATGGGTAAAAATCTAATTAAAAAAAAGCAAACGATTGATTTTTGCATTTATTATAAAAAGCAAACTTTTTTTTCTTTTTTTATTGCAAATATTATAAAAATATTTTACAAATTAAAAATTATAAATTATATATTAGAAAAAAAAAAAACGAAAAAGTAAATTGCAAATTTAAACTATTTTTGCTCTTTTCCTTCTCATATCTTATCAGTAATCATATCAGTAATTCTATAGTAGTACTACAGTATGCAACCAAATGTTTAATAAAAAAAGTAAATAACTGATAAACTAATAAAAGAAGGGAGAGAGAGAGATAGAGAGAGAGTATAACTAATAAATGAAATATTTAAGGGATTACAGTAATTTTGCATAATAAATTCAGACAACAAATCAAAAAAGTTTAATCTTCCAAATACAGTAACAATATAAATATTTCCGAACTAATAATTATTGAAATTAAAAAAAAAAAAGTTTTCAGTTGTTAAAATTGGGTAAACCATTTCTGAATTATTATTAAGAAAATTATACATATATAAACAATTAATTAAAATTATCATTTCTTTTATTTAAAATATTATTTCAAAAATATGATAAATTATATTGAAAAATCAAATGCTATTTATAATACTGTTAACATTTCAGAAAAAAAAAAATATTTTGCTAATTAAATTCAAATTCTGAATTTTAATTTTGCTCTATGATTAATTGTTTTAAGAAATTAATTGAAGGAATAATTTCATCGTTTTGTAATTTTTTTTTTTTTTTGTTTTTAAAAATTTTGTTGCCAAAAAGAAGAAAGTATTGAAACAAAATAATTGATTTACCCATAGCGAAATGCTTTCATTCCATAATCAAAAATTCATTTTTTATTTTAAAATGCTATCATTTTACTTTTAACTTTTATTTATTTTTCTAATTTTAACAAAAATAAAATAATTTAAATAATCAAAAATTTGTTTCCAAGAAAAAATGAAAAATCGTTTCTTATTTTTTTAATTGATAAAAGTATTATTTTATAACAAAATATATGAAAATATTAGAATTTTTCTCAAATAGATGTTTATAAATAAGCACTTCATATAAAATTAACGAACAGGAAAGAACAGAAAAGAAAAAAGAAGAAGAAAGGTCAAAGGACAAGAAAAAAGGTTAAAAAACAGAAAAACAAAAAGAAAAAGGTTAAAAAGAGAAATGAAGAAAAGGAAAAAATAAATAAATAATAATAAAACGATGAAAAATAAAAATTAAAATAAAAAAAAAAAAATAAGACAAATTTGTACTTACCAATTTATTTGATAAGAAAAAAAAGAAAGAAACAAGAAAATGAAAAGAAAAGATGGAATAGACAAATTTCATTATTATCATTCTTCTATCAAATTTATCATAGTAGTAATAAGAAGAGAAAAAATTCAATTTAAAGATTTGAAATTATACGTGTTACGTGTTTTTGTTCTTTAATGATAATGATAAGGTGATAATGGATACAGTACGATCAGCAAACATTTTTTTTTGTATAAAACAAATTTTAAACTTTCCTTTCTTACGTTTTTTTTTTTTTTTTTTTTTTTTTTTTTGTTCAAAATGAACGTTTAAAAAAAATAAAATTTCTACTGATAAAAAAACAAATTGATAAACGATTTTGTTTTTTTTTTTTTCCTTCCCTTCGTTATTTGATAAGCATAGTAAAATAAATCAGTCAAATAATATTATTTGAATAAACAAACTTTTTTTTTTTTTTCATTTTTAAAAGTAACATTTATACATGAAATTAATTAATCAATGATTTAAATTCATTTTCTTAATTCGTTTTATTTATTAATGATGAAAAAACATTATTTGAATAATAAAAATGAAAAAATATTATTAAAATGATCCATTCTTACTTTCTGTATAAAAAAAAATATTTAAATATAATTAAATCAATTAAAATTATTAATAAACAAAAAATGTAAAATTAAAGGATAAGAAAGAGAGGTGAAAAATGAAGATTTCATCTAAAATTTCAAAAATACTAAATATAAAGTTACTAAAAATGTTTGATTATTAAGCATAATTTGATACTAATAAAACTAATATATTATATTTATTAAAATCTATGGTCAGAATTTTAATTGAAATTCGAAGAGTAAATTAGATATGAACAAAAGAATTGCAAAAATTATGATTAACACAGAAAATTTGCAAAAAACTCGAATTAAAATAAGATATAAAATTAAATATAGATTAAAATTTATATAATTAAAATTTCCAACTATATATATATATATATAATTAAAAATTCGCAATATAATTAAAATATAATTAAATAATTATATGATTAAAATTTGCAAAAAAAAAAAAAAAAAAAAAAAAACTCAAATTAAATAAATAAGACAGAAAAATAATCAAAATTTTTTTCTTCTGTTTTTTGAAATTAAATAGCAAACTCAATATTCAATTATCTAATGGATAAATAAATTTCATTA